ATATATATAACTAAATATAAGACTAAATACATGACTAAATATAAGACTAAATATATGACTCAATATATTAGTAAATCCATCCTTCCATCATCGACCGCTTAACTAACTAAATGTATGACTAAATACATAACAAAATATTTGACTAAATATATAACAAAATATATATCTAAATATATAACTAAATATATAACAAAATATATGACTAAACATATAACTAAATCCATCCATCCATCATCGACCGCTTAACTAACTAAATATATGTTCGATAAACCGTATCGTAAACCGAGGCGAAGTAACGATATCTGTAACGTCAGTCTGTTATTATGAAAAACACGTACAACGTCCTGGACGACGAAAGTCGTCATGGAAAATCCGAAAAAAATGATTTTGTCGTATCGCGATATCGTGACCTTTGATCTGTGCGTGTGTGTGTGTGTGTGTGAAGGAACAAAGGAGCATCTGGACGCACTGATCGGTGACATCAGAGGAAACGCCAACGTGGTTCGGTCCAAACTCAAATGTCAGTAGACGTGTAAAAAAAAAAACGTCGACCGTCCGAACGGTCAGTCGCGCCGGACGTCTGATCATGTGACTTGACCGTGTGACCCGCAGACATGGAGCAGACCATGCCGACGGACAACGCCGTGAACCGGTCGTCTGTGGACTTCAGGATCCAGAAGACACAGGTGGGTGGAGACGGAACGGAGGACGAGGACGACGAGGACGAGGACAACGATGATGGTGTTTCGATGGTATGTGTGTGACCATGTGTGTGTGTGTGTTTTCCCGAACCTCAGTACACGGTGTTGTCCAGGAGGTTCGTGGAGGTCATGACCCAGTACAACGAGACGCAGGTGTCCTTCCGGGAACGGAGTAAAAGGAGGATCCAGAGACAGCTGGAGATCAGTGAGTACCATCGACCGTTAGCCCCGGTGTTCAACGAAACACCGGTGTGTACGTCTGGGTTTAAAACACATATATTTAGCGGGAATATGGAATATATATATATATATATATATATGTGGGGCGTCGTCCGTCCGTCCGTCTTCGCTGGTTCTGTGTCCGCCCCGAAATATATGAGAGGTATTTTTAAATAAAAACCTAATCAGTGAGTCAGTGTAAAAACAGCGCAGTGTATGGTGTACGGCTTTATGACTACATATATGACTAAATATATAACAAAATATATGACTAAATATATATGACTAAATATATGACTAAATATATATGACTAAATATATGACTAAATATATAACTAAATATGTGACTAAATATGTATGACTAAATATATGACTAAATATATGACTAAATATATGACTAAATATATA